ATTATAACAGAATTCTATAACTAAATTTGAGTTAGAGTAGACATTGTTCATGTTTTATATTGCTGACGCAATATTCTCTTCTGGTACATTCTGGATATGTTGATATAAAGTCATAAAACATTAGAGCTGAAAGTGGCTTTCGATATTATCTATTGAGTTTTCAAATGATGAAAAGGATTTGAATAAGCATAAGTGTTTATTCACTAAAGGAACAGCACAATTCTAAAATGGTATTCACAATTACATCAGCAATTCTCAAGGTTTATAAAGAGGGGAACCTATATTTTAATACTAATCAGACATTAGCTCAAACATTTTATGAGAATCAGTAGATTGGAATATTAATATATGTAAGAGGGAAAACATACTTAATATTGAAGGAAACAAGATAAATATAAAGCAAAACATTTTTAAACTATTGTTATAGTGTTTAAAAAACATACTTTTAAAATGTTTTCATATTTAATTTTTAAAAACAAAATTGAAATGTGTTTGATATTTTAATAGAAAAAGACCAAAAATAGAGTGAAAGAAATTTCCAAATTCAACTTAAATATGGTTGCTATTGTTTAACATCATCCCTAAAATTAGGAGTCAATAAAACAGGTGTGTATAAAGATTAAGAAAGAAGCACAATGCTCTCTAGTGCTAATACCCTTGTATTTGCTTGAAACAAAATCAACCAGCTTCCCAGAGTAAAATATGCAATAAATAATGATTTACAAAAATACCATTTAATATTTGCATGTAATTATGTTGTATTTTTTTAGCCTAAGTTCATTATTGTAGTCCAGCACTTATGTATAACCTGAGAATGTAGAGAAAATTCAATTCTTTCGAGGACTAAAGCTAGAATTCTGTCTGTGCTTCTGTACCCTTTGACATGGGTGAATGCTGGGGAGTGAGGGCATCAGTGGGCAAAGGCAAGGGAGAAGTAAGATCACTGAACACTAAAATGAGGGAGTCAGGGCTGTGGTCATTCCTGAATTCAGGCACCATCCAGAAGCTAAATTATATCTATGTGGTTACTCAGTAGGGACACATATCTGAAGTGTGTGACCATTCCCATAAAGCTGCTGCCCAATTATATAAATTCTAAACTTATAAGAAAGTTTCTTATATAAAAAGTAAATAAATGAATCAATACTCTGCTTAGGAGTTAAGATACAAAATATGAGAAGGCAGAGTAAAATATGGTGTCACATGTTGATAGGATGGGCCTAAATTCGCAAGGCAAATTCACTAAAATATGTGAAAGACTGTGAGCTGATACACAGTAATCTCCAAAGTAATTAATTGAGATGAATGTAAGGAAGCCCTTCCCAACCCCCTCAGATCCAAATTATTTTTCTTATAACAAAACACTTTTTAAAATAAACTAACATTTTATAACGCTCAAACATTATTTTAAAATACCCTAAAAGCTAATTATTTTTCAAATATTTTTGTAATAACCACTATTATTTTAAATGGAAATCATAATTTACATCATCTGCTTAAACAGATAACTTTTAAAAATTAGTTAATCAGCCCAGCCAGCGTGGCTCAGTGGTTGAGTATTGACCTATGAGTCAGGAGGTCACTGTTAAATTCTCAATCAGGGCACATAGGGCACATGCCCCAGTTGCAGGCTCAATCCTCAGTGTGGGGCATGCAGGAGGCAGCCTATCAATGATTCTCTCTCATGATTGATGTTTCTATCTCTCCCTCCCTCTCTGAAACCATTTAAAAAAATTAGTTAATTACACAACTGTATTCTAGAGTAGAAATAAATGAAAGTAACTTTTTCTTTTAAAAAATGTATTGCAATATAAGTAGGTGACATAACAAATAGATCTATGAATACAAGGCTAATGGAGACTGATGCTGCATTATGATTATGTGATATCAGTATCTCAATTATCATACTACTTAGCAAGATTTTGTAAACAAATCTTGCTAAAGAGCTATTAAAATATATACTTTTTCCTCAATTTAGTTGGTTGCTACACTTTTGGAAAAAATTAGAGTATCTTAACTAAAACCAAGCAAAATTACTTTGTGCTTATACATAAAATTAAAGTGTCTAAATTCAGATAAATGTAAACAGAATTTCAGCTACAGGGATATATCATGGGACTTTTGAGATTTGTCTGCTACTTAGACAATTATTCATTTTGTAAGCCTTTCCATGTATGGAAATGGTCTATTCTCCCTGGTTTTTTTTTTTTCCATTAAGTGATAGTAGAATGTCACCTCATCATAACAATAATCAAGTCCTTCAAAAAATATCATTTAGAGTCCTGTAAGCTCTGCTGAGAGCCACTACATGAACAAAATGTGTTCAAGAAGAATCTTAAGCCACTTAACTGATTTAGTATTACAACTCAATATGGATTGTCATCTTGAAATTCTTACTAATTTAATCCTTGAATTTGTGTTTTGTAAGTCCAATGGGATATGAAGCATGCTCCAGATGTTTAGCACATCCTGCCAGCTCCCCCACCTCTATAGGACGAGTTCTTGGATGATTGCTTCTGCCCCAGGGTTTTCTTGACCTTATAGCCCCCTATTACCCACTGCTGCTATTTATCTGGGATAGCGATCAGGTCATTGAAGAAGAAAGGCTCACATTTCACTGACTCCCTCTGACTGTAGAGGGATTCTGGGCATAGACATAGGGAGGATGGGCCTGGGCTAGCAGCACCCCAGCATGTTTGGCAGGCAACTCATGAGGGGTGAGCCTCTTGGCCATCCCTGAACCAGGTACTGAGTGTGAACCAGCTCACAGAACAGAATCTCTTGAAAGTTATCTATCTACCATGGAATGGGTCAAGAAGACCTTGTGATGGGAAGGTTAACTGCCCCCCAACTGGTTACACACATCAAGTCAAAGGGCAGTGGACCTGACAGTTGTGAGGGTCTACACTTGCCCTATGAGTATCTCTCCATGTCCAAGGGACATTACATTAAATGGAAAATACAAACCAGCAAGACAGGAAAGTTTTATATCTTTGTATCTTAGATGGAACCATTTTGTTGTGTTTTGAATAAAGGGCCTTCCATTTTCATTTTGCACATGGACCTGAAAATTATGTAGTCAGTCCTGACCAAAATCCAAATACCTAGACCCAAATTGGAGCCAGATCTTCCAGATTCCTCTTACATTTCCCACATCACCAAATTAATATTTTTACCATTTTAATTAATTATATTTTTTATACATTTAATATTATTCTGTATTACTTTAAGATATACAGCATAATGGTTAGATAGTCTTATACTTTACAGAGTGTTCCCCCCAATATTTGAAGTACCCAATTGGCCTCATAAATAGTTATTACAATATTATTGACTATATTCCCTATGCTACAATTTATATCTCTGTGACTATACTGTAGCTACCAATTTGTACTTCTTATGCCCATCACCTTTTTTACCCAGGCCCCCCAACTTCCCTCTCCTCTGTCAACCATCAGTCTGTATTCTGTATTTATGAGTCTATCTATTTTGTTTGTTTATTTTGCTTTTTAGATTATCCAACTAAATGAAATCATATGTTATTTGTCTTTTTCTGTCTGACTTATTTCACTTAGCAAAATACCATCTAGATCAGGGGTGGGCAAACTTTTTGACTCGAGGGCCACAATGGGTTCTTAAACTGGACTGGAGGGCCGGAACAAAAGCATGGATGGAGTGTTTGTGTGAACTAATACATGTTAACACTGCTGCTGGTGAAGGAGCGGAGGGGAGAGCAAGAGAACCCTCCGCTCTTTCAGCTCTGCGGGCGATAGAACAGCCAAACGGGCCGGATCCGGCCCGTGGGCCATAGTTTGCCCACAGCTAGTCTAGATCCATCTATGCTATCACAAAAGGTAAGCTTTCATTCTTTTTTATGGCTAAGTAGTATTTCAATCAAATATATAACTTACTCGAGGCCCGGTGCACAAAAATTTGTGCACTCGGCGGGGGGGTGGGGGGGGTCCCTCACTCTGGCCTATGCCCTCTCACAGTCTGGGACTCCTCAGGGGATGTCCACCTGCTGGCTTAGGCCCACTCCCTGGGGGATTGGGCCTAAGCTGGCAGTCAAACATCCCTCTGGCAGCCTGGGAGCCCTTGGGGGATGTCCACTTGCCAGCAGGGAGCAGGCCTAAGCTGCAGTCGGACATCCTTAGTGCTGCTGAGGAGGCGGGAGAGGCTCCCACCACCACCGCTGTACTGGCAGCCGTCAGCCTGGCTTGTGGCTGAGCAGAGCTCCCCGTGTGGGAGCGCAGTGACCACCAGGGGGCAGCTCCTGCATTGAGCGTCTGCTCCCTGGTGGTCAGTGTGTGTCATAGCGACCAGTCATTCCCAGTCATTCTGCTGTTAGGGTCAATTTGCATATTACCCTTTTCTCATATAGGATATAGGCCTGGTGCACGGGTGGGGACACACTGGTTTGCCCTGAAAGGTGTCCCGGATCAGAGTGGGGTTCCCATTGGGGTGCCTGGCCAGCCTGGGTGAGGGGATGAGGGCCATTTTCAGGCTGGCCACACCCCCCGGTGACCCAAGGTCCCAGCCTATCCTTTTTTTTCTTTTTTTTTTCCTGGGATTTATTTATCTTCTATAATTGAAACTTTGTAGCCTTGAGTGGAGCCCAGGGCCAGCCAGGGCAGGTGGGAAGCTTGGTTTCCTCCATCGCCGGGGGCAACCCAAGCCTCCTGCTTGCTCCAGCTCCATGGCCGCTGCCATCTTATTTGGGTTAATTTGCATACTCGCTCCTTATTGGCTGGTGGGCGTGGCTGGTGGTGTGGCTTGAGCATAGAGGAGGGACAGTTAATTTGCATGTTTCTCTTGTATTATATAGGATTCTTCAATATTAATTTTCAAGTCTCTGATACATTGTTGCTTCCTTTTAAAGACCTTTCTTAACCTTCCTATTCACAGTATGTTTTCTTTTTATTCTTTATTGTAGCATGTTCTTTAGTTTCCTCATTGTACACATTACAATGTATAATTAATTAATTTATTTGTTTACTTACTCATTATCTGTCTCTCCTCAATCGAAGGTAGGCCCCATGAGTAAAATGTCTGGTCTGTCCTGTATCCCCAACAGCTGGCATATTCTCTGGAAAATTATAGGTATTCAATAGGTTATTGTTGAGTGAATAAAAAATAGGACATTGTTTCATCATTTACCAAGGAAGTTGAGAGGAAAAGGGAAAAAGTATTTAGGGAGTCACAAGAAATATTAAATTTCAAAGAAGGGTTAGGGTTTGAAGCAATGGATGGGAGATAGCACTGGTTTATGTGAAACAGTGATTGAGGTAAATCAGCAAACATTTTTTAAAGACTTTCTCTGTTCAAGTCATGGGGTTATATGATCTTTCATGCTAAGGTTTTGCCATATAGTCAGGAAGAAAGAAAATTTAATATAAAAATAGAATATAAAGATGTAGTGTATTGGAGCAAGATTTGTAAAGTAATGAAAAAAAGATTAACTTAGCATTTTATACCCATGGAAACTATATTTCAAAAAACAAAGGTGAGAGAAAATATGGTGGCTGAACAGGCAGATCTTTCTTGCGCCTCCTCCAAGGGCCAGAATGGAAATAAAACTAAAGTGGGAAACATGCACCAGAGTTACCAACTGAGGTCCAGCTGAGGAGGAGACTTATATCAAGGAAGGAGTGAAAACACCTGGAGACCTGTGAGAAGGGCCAGGTTGTGAGAGGGGCTGACCCCGCTTCCAGGGAGGCAGGCTGAGAGTGAGGAGGGAGCTTTGGACTACAGGAGGGTCTGTTCCCTCAGAAGATTGAGGCCCAGAGCGCAGGCTGGGCTCCCAGATCACCAGAGCCGAGACCCAAGGCCCACATAACATCCAACTGTGAAAGGCAGCAGGGCTGCTGGCTGCTGCGGAGCCTGAAGCCAGTAAACTGGAGCCTGTCAGAGAGAAAACCTCAGTTTAAGTTTTTGTTTGTTTGTTTGTTTCTTTTTTAAAACCAGAGCAGGAGTTTTCATTTGCAGCTCTTCACCCCAGGCTTTGGTGCAGGGAGAGAGGCACAGACTCCAAGTGCCTAAGGAGAGGCTGGGGTGGGAAAGATTGTGGTGAGATGTAGTAAAGTAGGAGCCAGGACTCCTGCATTTGTTCAAATGCCCCAAACCAAAATGGCCATTTTTCCTGAGGGGAGCTAGCCACTCTCAGTAGCTGCAGAGCAAGAAAAGGAAAAAACTCCACCCCAGGTGATACAGCCTGTCCCATTCTCAGAAGTCCTGCTTGCCACACCCTGCATTTTGACCTTTTCAGAGGAAACAAAAGCAGGGGCCAAAAAGTTTGAACAGCCTCAGGGACTGGAGTGGAGGAGGGGTCATCAGCCCCACTATCCTGGGAATGTGGTGCTTTCCCCACATGGAAGCTAATAGAAATTCCAGGTTTCCAGCTGATCCCACTGGACTGCATACAAGGATCTCTGCCCAAGGCAGAGTAATATTTTGGGCCACTTGAAGAGGAGTAATTCTGGAAGAAGGAAACACACACACCACGTTCTCTGAAATCTGAAATGTACCTTCCCTCATGGGAGACCCAGAGGTCTAGACTCCCGACCCTACCTGAAGCCCTTTCAGAAACAGACTTTTGAATGATTAAGATTGACAGGTGGCTGGCAGGAGAAGGTAAGCAGAGGAGGAGCCTGGGGAACCAGGGGAAGTTTGCTGACCCAGCCCTGGGCCCCATGCTGCTAACAAACCTGCTTTAGAGGGAAGCTTGGTCTCTCCAGCGTGCAGCCCAGTCCTGTGGAGACAGACACAAACTGTGGATCACTTGGAGCTTCAAGCAGGTTGCTGAAAGCCAAAAGAGAACATTTTCTGACAGTGATTAACACCTAAGTACCTCCCTGGAAGCCCAGAACTGGCAAAAAGAATAGTCAGCCACAGTCATCAGAAGATCAGGATCCAAAAGGAGCTCCCATGGAGACTAAACTCTGCTAAAACAAACATCACTCACTTTTTTTTCTTTTATTCTTTTATTTTCTTTCCTCTTTTATGTATTTTTATATTTCCATTCTTTTTTCCTTTTTTATTTATCTTCTTTATCTATATGCTTTGTTATTTTCTAGTCTCTATTGTTTGGGTTGTATATCTAATTTTCTTCTTCCCTTAATCCTACTCGTTTTGTTTTGTTTTTAATCCTGCTTCCTCATCTTTTTTCCTTTTCTTCATTTGGATCTATTTGCTTTCTCCTCTATTTTCCTTTAAAAAATTTTTTCTTTTCTTTAATTCTTCCATTATTTTAACCTGTTTTCCTTCCCCTACTCCCCTAATTTTTATTATTTTATTTCAGTTCTGTACCTACATATTCCTTTTTCTACACCCCCTTTTTTGTTTTGGTTTTTGTGTGTTGTTGCTTTTGTCTGTTTGCTTTATCTTTCTCCTCATATTGTTTTCTTTATTTTATTTCTTCTATCACTCTTGCTCTCTTCTCTTTTCTAATTCTCTCTTCTCTGGTGGTTGCTTTTGTTGTTGCTGTAGAGGTCTTGCATATGTTCTTTTTTTTTTTAATTAAATCTTTATTGTTCAGATTATTACAGTTGTTCCTCTTTTTTCTCCCCATAGCTCCCCTCAACCCGGTTCCCTCCGCCCTCAACCGCACCCCGCCACTGTCCTCATCCATAGGTGCACGATTTTTGTCCAGTCTCTTCCCGCATCCCCCACACCCCTTTCCCCCCAAGATTAGTCAGTCCACTCCCTTTCTATGCCCCTGATTCTATTATAATCACCAGTTTATTCTGTTCATCAGATTATTTATTCACTTGATTTTTAGATTCACTTGCTGATAGATGTGTATTTGTTGTTCATAATTTGTATCTTTGCCTTCTTCTTGTTCCTCTTCTTAAAGGATACCTTTCAGCATTTCATATAATACTGGTTTGGTGGTGCTGAACTCCTTTAGCTTTTCCTTATCCGTGAAGCTCTTTATCTGACCTTCAATTCTGAATGATAGCTTTCCTGGATAAAGTAATCTTGGTTGTAGGTTCTTGGCATTCATCACTTTGAATATTTCTTGCCACTCCCTTCTGGCCTGCATAGTTTCTGTAGAGAAATCAGCTGACAGTCATATGGGTACTCCCTTGTAGGTAACTGACTGTCTTTCTCTTGCTGCTTTTAAGATTCTCTCTTTGTCTTTTGCTCTTGGCATTTTAATTATGATGTGTCTTGGTGTGATCCTCTTTGGGTTCCTTTTGTTTGGGGTTCTCTGCGCTTACTGGACTTGTAAGTCTATTTCTTTCACCAGGTAGGGGAAGTTTTCTGTCATTATTTCTTCAAATAGGTTTTCAATATCTTGCTCTCTCTCTCATCTTCTGGCACCCCTATAATTCGGATGTTGGTGCACTTAAAGCTGTCTCAGAGACTCCTTAAGCTATCTTCGTATTTTTAGATTCTTTTTTCATTTTGTTTTTCTGGTTGGGTGTTTTTTGCTTCTTCGTATTTCAAATCTTTGACTTGATTCTTGTGATCCTCTGGTCTGCTGTTGGGAGTCTGTATAATATTCTTTATTTCAGTCAGTGTATGCTTAATTTCTAGTTGGTCCTTTATCACAACCTCGAGGGTCTCACTAGATTTCTTGAGGGTCTCACTACATTTATCGGCGGTTTCTAGAAAGTTCTTGAAAAACCTTAAAAGTGTGGTTTTGAACTCTATATCCAGCAGTTTGCTTTCCTCCATTTCTGTCATTTGTGACCTGTTTCTTTGTCTCCGCATTTTTTATGCTTCCCTGTGTTAGTAGAGTGGCTTTGTGTGCTAGGTGTCCTATAGGGCCCAGTGGCTCAACTTTCCCAATTACCTGAGGTGGACACTCTTGGTGCACCCCTTTGTGAGTTTTGTCCACAGTCTTGTTGTAGTTAAGCCTTGATTGTTGTAGATATCTTTGAGAGGAATTGACCTCCAGGCCTACTGGCTGTGAGAATCAGCTGTGTCTATAGTGGGAGAACTTCTGTGCTGAAGACACCCTTATGGGGCAAGAATTGCTTCAGTGGGGCTTTGGTGCTCGCTGAGTCTGCCCCCTGAGTGTTTCCCTTATAGATCTGAGGAGTTGTAATCTGGATGGTCCCACTCTGAACACTGGGTACACTGGCTCTTGGATCTAAGGAGGTGCTAATTTAGCCTCTGCCCGAGGCTACCCAGCAGGAGCTATGAAGAGATCTGCAGATTCCCCTTCCTTGGTTGGGGTTTTGAAGTGCCCAAATGAGGCTCAGCTGTGAATCAATGCAAGCTGCTGTGGGGCCTTGGGCCTTCTCTTGGAAGTTCTGGGTCTGTCTGGCCCAGCTGCAGTTTTTTAGGTAATTTTCAGATTGCAAAGGGCCAGGGCATTCATATGCAAAAGCCTCTTCCGCAGCTTGGGTGGGGCGGGGTCTCAGAGGATCAACAGGGTGGAGCAAGCAGCTATGGCTGATCCTCAGCCCTGCCCTAAGGGGCCCCTCATCTCAGTGTCCCGCGGTAATGGCTGCAAGCACCTTTGAGAGAAAACCACCCTCGAGTTCCAAGTTCTGCCCGCTGCCAGACAGTCCAGTTTCTCCCCATATGAGTCTAGGTCCACAGAGACTCACCCAGAACTGGAGTTCAGAACAGCTGGGGGCTTGTGGCTCCCTCCCGATTCAAAAAGACAGCGGCGTCCTCAGTCGCCAGTTCTTGCTGCGTGCACCTCCGTACCTCTGCACTCCACCTCCGCAGCTCCTCTGAGTCTCAGTGTCCTTTTCTCTTTCCTCTGGTTGTAGAATTTCCACTCAGCCAGCCTTCCTGTAGTTCTGGATGATGTCCATTCGTCTTTTAGTTGTATTTTTGAATTTGTTGTGGGAGGCAGCAATTTCCGGTGTTTACCTATGCCGCCATCTTGGTTTCTGTGCAAATGTTCTTATTTTGTTTCTTTTGTTTTGTGTTTTGTTGTGTTGTATTTTGTTCTTTTCTGTCACAACCTCTGCAACAGCTCATAAAACATGGTTGGGGGTGAGCTACATAGTCAGCCAGCCTGTGAGGAGATTCGATCCACAAATGGGACAATAATATTCAAGACCCAACTATAACAGGAAACCCCAAATACTTCAAGGAAGGGGCTTTCCTAGATCACCTAGCTAAGGACATCTAAGAGATTGCACCATTGGGTCCCACAAAACACCTACTATATAAGACAGCACCACAAAGTCTGGGAGGCATAGCAGTTTAATCTAATAGATAGAAACAAATACAAAGGAACAGAAAAAATGGGGAGACAAAGAAAAAACCTAAATGAAATAACAGGAGGAATCACCAATAAATGAACTAAAAGAAATGGAAGCAAGCAATTTGTTAGATTAAGAATTCAAATGAATGGTAATAACTGCTCAAACAAGTCAGTGAGAATTATAACAAACTTAATGAGAAATAAAAGGGATTTAATGAGAGCTACATCAACATGTAAAGAGATTGAAACAATAAATAAGAATCAATTGGAAATGAGGAATGACATAGCTGAAATAAAGAACACCGTGGAAGGATTCAATAGTAGACTAGAAAAAGCTGAGGAATGGATCAGTCACTTATAAGACAAGGTAGAAAAAAATACCCATTCATAGCAGCAATTGGAAAAAAAAAGATCAGGAGGAGAGTTTAAGGGAGCTTTGGGACAACCTGAAATGTAATACCATTTACCTCATAGGGCTGCCAGAAGGGGAGGAATCAAGGCAAGGGATAGAGAGCCTGTTTCAAGAAATAATGACAGAATATTTCCCTAACATGGTGAAGGAGTCACACAAGTGTGGGAAACACAGAGAGTCCAAATCAAGATTAAGCCCAAAAGACCCATACCTAACTAGATCATAATTAAAATGGCAAACATTAAAGACAAAGAAAGTATCTTAAAGGCTCCAAGAGAGAGCCAGAAAGTTACCTACAATGGAGCTGCCATTAGACTATCAGCTGATTTCTTAGTAGAAACACTTCAGGTCAGAAGGGAGTGGCATGAAGTATACAAAGTAATGAAAACCAAGGGACTGAACAGAAGATTACTTTATCCAGTAAGGCTATCATTCAAAATTGAAGGTGAAATAAAGAGCATCAAAGAAAAAAAAAGGGTTCATTACCACCAAATCAGCAATGCAAGAAATGATAAAGGGACTGTTGTAAGGAGAAGAAATAGAAAGAGAAGAACACATAAAGAATAAAAATGGCAACAAATAAGTACATATCAATAATAACTGCAAATGAAAATGGCTTAAATGTTCCAATCAAAAGACATAGGGTAGCTGAATGGATAAGAAGCATGATCCATATATATGCTGTCTACAAGAGAACAAACCTCAGAACAAAAGATTCACACAAAATGCAAGTGAAGAGATGGAAACAATTTTTCTATGTAAATGGAAATGAAAAAAAATCTGTGTAGCAATACTCATATCTGACAAAATAGACTTCAAAATGAAGGCCATAAAGAGAAATAAAGAAGACCCCTTCATAATACTAAAGCAGGGGTCCTCAAACTTTTTAAACAGGGGGCAAGTTCACTGTCCCTCAGGAGGGCCGGACTATAGTTTAAAAAAAAAAAATGAACAAATTCCTATGCACACTGCACATATCTTATTTTGAAGTAAAAAAACAAAACGGGAACAAATACAATATTTGTATTTGCATGTGGCCTGCGAGCCGTAGTTTGAGGACCCCTGTACTAAAGGGACTGATACATTAAGACACTATAACTCTAGTAAAAATATATGCACATAATAGAAGAGCATGCAAATAAATATATACATATATATTATATGT